CAGTCCCCCATTTTTAGGAAGAATAAGAAATGATTAAGTAGTCGGGGTTTTCCTGGATTCTTGATCTGATAAAACTAGATATTTCTCCATGTTTGGTAAGATTAGTGAAGCATAAAACTAAAAGTTGATCCTTGTTTGATACCATAAAGTAGAAGGTAAAGAAAATACAATATATTAAAGTGACAGATAAAAGTGATCGAACCCTCTTGCTCTGGCTAACAAAACAACCTGAAAACAGAAAATACTGACATTACGTGTGAGCGTCAAGTCTAGACAAAAAAAAAAAAAAAGAAAACTTTTGGTGTGGCAGGTGTCACGTAATGGCACCAAATGACAAGGTTGAGCTGAACTCTGTTTTTAGGGCTCATCAGAACGTCTGTCTGGAGGCTCTGATGATGATGAGCCATCAGTCCAGCTCATTATTACCTGACTAATTACAGTGGCTACCTCAGGCTGGCAGCCCTGTGCCTGTATTGATAATCAAAGTGAAATTAAACTATTAACTGAATTAATGGTGCACTGGTGCGTGTTGTGTCAGCATACAGGAGACAGCATGATGTGTGAGTGTGTTTGTGTGTGTGTGTGTGTGGTCTTGTATCTGATACAGCGTAAGGGCCATTTTCGTAACACATGCTATGTAGTGGGGACCGACGGCCCCTTATGGGGCCCATAAGAGGACGTGCTGCTTTTGGAGTGATGGGTAAAGCTTAGGACTAGGTTTTTAATTGTGTTTGGGTTAGATTTAGGGTTAGGCATGAACTAGTAATGGTTAGGTTTAGAGTCAGGTTAAAGCATTAGAAATGAATGAAAGTCTATGTAAATTCATTGTGACGATAAAAAGACACCCTCTGCATAGTTTGCATTTTTTGTTCTTTTATTAGTTCATATATTGAATCAAATTGGTTTATCTATGGATAGAAATAGAAAATTAAACCAATAGGAACAATTATGTTTCTAGTATATTTCTGTATTTGCAAAATGTTTAAATTTCTATCATTGTGAAGTTGTGCAACACAAAAACGAGGCAAAAACTCTGAATGGAGACAGTTGCACTGGTACAATAGTAACTATCCGATGCAAGGCACAGATGTGCAACAGCACTGTAATAATTCTCTATCAAAACAATTTTACAATAATTCCCAGGATATTCTAATCAGATTCCCACGGTGGAAACATTGTGCTGACACGACTAAATTAGTGACAGTCAGAATTTCATAACAGCTGCCCAAGAATCGAATATCAAAGGATTTGTTGAACGTTGAATAACTTAAAATTAATTGGGTTTTTGACAAATCGAGCTACATCAATTTCCGTTTGCTCGTTTTCGGACCCCGGCTCCGTTTGCAAAGCACTTCAAACCGCTCCGTTTCTTTGTTCGTTCAGATAAGGACCGGAGCAGCAAAGCAGTCGTTGCGCCGCCATCGCTCTCGAGCTGCCGTGGCGCAGCCAGTGTCCTGCCAGTTTACGCTCAACAAGAAATTGTTCTAAATGAATTTCTCCCTTGTTAATTCCTTCTTGATGTCTTTGCTCACAAACATCGTTTTATTGTGGCCAAATTCCCAGCGCAGCTGCTGTCACTCACAGGCTTTAATGATTTTACCAGAAAGGCACGAGGGAAGTTCTGACTGAAAAGTGGTCCATGTGGAACGCTTTATGCACATTAATTACACACGGACTGATGTTCTCAAGCCTTTATCTCTGACAACATGATAGAAATTTAGCTTACAGCTAATGGAGGAAAGAAAAAGATTACATCTACATGGGGGGTTCATTAAAGTATGTTGGATATCGACTTAAGGATTGTCATTTTCAAAAGATGCTTTTAATCTGACAAACAGGCCTCATTGGGCAGCATATTCTAACTGTATGCTCAATCACTTTTGAAGCTCTATAACTTTGGTGTTTCTGTTTAATTAAACCATGATTGTTTCAGCACATCAGCCAACAAAATCTCCAGTTTTGCAAATCAAAGGCGTTAGTTCTGTTATTTTGGCTTCGTTCCTGTACGAGGGAAAACGAGGCGGTGCAGACTGCAGGAGGCTCCTGCTGCGGCTCTTTTTTTTTTTCCACCCAGTCACAACACAATTAGTACAGCAAGACATTTTTCCCAACTAAGTGAAATAATCTGTCAGTGGAGCAAGTTCATTGTCATCAACATTAAGGGATTATTCACTCAACAAGCTCCTATATGGTGCTGAAAAGTTACTTGTGAGTTGGTTTTGTCTTATTGAAGTGTACTAAGATATTTGCACTAGAAACTAGTGCAAATATTTTGTATTTTTGTTTTTGCAGTGTAAAACGTTTATACAGTTTTATCGTCCAATGGAAATGATTTGTATTCGGTAGATTGTACAGTTTGTAGGAGATAAAAAAAACAATCGATGTAACTCTTTTTTTTTTTTTTTTTTTTGGTAACTCCAACCCATAAGCTAGTTATTACTCAATAAAGTATGATTTGTCATCCACATGTTACACATTTGGCGCATGTCAAATGTGTAACAAATGGACAAATGTGGCTTCAGGTCTGTTCATGCACACAGAGCAGGAATTTGTGGAGTCAATTTTAACAAACTGGAAGGACAACACACCACTACTGGAAACATGCAGTTTTAAAAAGACAATGACGGTTTTACACGATAGTTTCATTTTTGTCAAATGTGTGTGTATAAACGCACAGGCAGGACTTCTTTCACACCTTTGGACTTTTAGTGGTCAATGCTTATTTGCATCTTGTGTTTTTTGGTTTTGTTTTTGCGTTTCAAACTCACATGTGCACAATATACTTGCCAAGCAGTTCATTTTTTGCATTTTTGACCCTTGTCGCAGAAGTCCCTCCCCCCGCCCCACGACGCTCCAAAATAGAGTCCAGACAGGTTTGACATTTAAAACAAAAAAGCATAAGCAGGCTGCAAAATAATAAATATTCATCCGTAGTAAAACAGCATCACTAAGTATGAGAAAAGGGAAAGTGAAGAGGATGGGAAAGTAAGGATTTCTCAATTTCAACGGATCAACGAGTTTTCAAATTGAACACTATTCTCGTTTAAAATTCAGACGGGAATCCGGCGAGATATTAGTACGGGGAAATCAAGAGGGAAATTGGGTCACCTGTGAGCTGCTCATTTTATGCAGTCAAAACAAATAAGTAATTTAAAAAAAGGAAAACGAGGAGGGGGGAGAGAAGAGAAATATAATGAAAAAGAAAAAAAAAATATGTCAGACACAACGAAACGGGAGAAAACGAAACAAAAACCTTCAAGTAGACGGACGCACCAAGAAGGGACAGCGAACCCGCACAGCTTTTGGACCGTAGTTCATGAAACTAAAACGGGCTCAATCAGCGTGGAGAAGAGTGGAGGTTAAAGTCTTGGCTGCTGTTATCTCATTTAGGTTTAAAGCGAATGGCTTTTTTGTGGACACACTTTTAAAAAAAATAATAATGCAGACTGGTTCCCAAGTTTGTTGGGTTTGCAGAACAGAGGGAATCAGGTGTGAACGGGGGGCAGTGGCTACAATTTCAAACGCCGTTTGTTTTACAAAGTAATTAGATATCGACTGAAGTGATTGCAGTATCCAAAGAAAAGAAGAAACGGAGAAAATACTTAAGGAGAAAGTTTGCTTCGCCCTGGCTAAAATTAATGTCGAGCTTCACCATCAAATGGTAAAGAGGTAAAATGTTTTTATACAGTATATTTTAACCATAAGCCTAATTTTCTGAATTTCAAGTTATTTTTGCCCCAATATGGGCAAATATTTTTGATTTTTTTTCCTGGCCTTTCTTAAAAAGTTGAGAGTTGTTGCATTATTTGTTAGGGGATTTGGGTTGGAAATGGATTCATACATACAAGGTTACATAAAGCTTGTAAAAAGGCGACTCTTTTCAACTTTCAGGCAGCAGTAGTAGTAGTCTTTTTTAAAGAGAAATTTCAAGGTAATTTATTTGGTACACAAATAAAAGACCTTACAGAACATTGAATCCTTTGCCTTGGTAAAGTTCGGTCAGTCGTTTGCTCTTCCAATCTGCAACACAAACTCGATTCAGCCTGATTTTTGTACGAGTAGCCCAGAAATTCTCAGTTCAGATGAACTTTCTGTCAAAGTTTCTCTCTTAGAATCTGGTGAAATAAAAATGTAATAGTCTGATAAAGATTTCCAGGTACCACTTAGCACTATTTACCAACGGTCATCAATCACTGGTAAATGATTCCTCAAGTAATTTAAGGAATTACTTGAGCACAAAGTTGAAATAAAATGACACCAATCCAGATTCCCACTGAATATGTGGATGTCTTATCCATATTAAATAGGCAAAGTTTAGATGGAATTTTTACAGAGCAACAATTGATATGTCATTTCATTTTAGTGATCCTCAAATCTTGCAGTGGGACCTTCGAGTAAAGATGGTGACTGGAGTTTGAAACAAAATAACAAAAGACTTAAAAGACTGAGACTTGACTGTAATAGTTTATATCTCATGTAATGAAGAGTGAAAGGAACCTGAGCAGAAAAAATGTGCTCGATTATTAGCTTGTCACGTTTATGGGGTGTTGATCACTCAGAGTTTTGTACTTCCTTCTGGAAGATATTGACGGGGGTTTTGTTTCCCAAAAAAATGATGCCTTTGGCAATTTCTCTCTCTACATGTGGAATCAAGTGTTTAATAATTCAAACATTGCTGTACATACAAATTAATGAATGGGTTTAAACACAGTTATTAAATGTTCTTGTGGTAATTTAGGCCTCAGGACAAAATATACACGTGTTTTTAAATCTCCTTATAATGGCGTATAGTTAGAATGGGGATTTTACTGCATGTTAAACTGTGAAACGTGTCCGAGGAGAAGCTTTTTAGCAACTATTTATGTGTGCCAGGCAGACATCATGTTTCATTGTGCTTAATTAACTTTTTACCTACGTTTTAATGGAAGCTGTACTGCCTTGTTTCAGTAAAGGCAGTAAATATTTAGATGTTCCTCTTTCCTCTCTCTCCTGCCCTCTACAGGACAGTCCACTGATTCTCCAGTCAGACAGAAACGTGACGGTCAACGCTAGAAATGATCAGGGACAACTGACTGGTCAGCTCACCGTGGGTAAGACACACTTGTCACACACACACACTCCACACATGCTGTTTTCCCTTTAAATGAGGTTCAGCCCACCTGTTTTTTTTGTTTTGTTAAAACATTAAAATTTAAAGTATTCTTCTAGTTGAAAGTTAAATGCTTTCCCCTCCATTTTGACAGTGAAGCTATCTATTGTCATTAGCTATCCAGCTCACTTTTTTTTCTTTTTATAAAATCATGCTTTCAAGGCAAGCTTCACTAGTCTATGGTGTATTAAACTTATTTTAGTGACCTTGCTACATCTTTTTAATGTATCATGTCATCACATTTGTTACGTTATGCAAAAATGTGTAGTTGTTGCACATTTTCGCATCAAAAATGCAAACTTGTGTTGATGTAAGTATCTTTAACTTTGGGAATTTTCCTCGTCGGCATTTTCATTTTTGCTTTGACTTCTGACCAGTGCAGGGAAATCTCCTTCCCAAGTTTAAGTCTTAACATTTTCTGAACAAAAAAAAGTAGATCCAAATATTTTTGAGCTTTAGACGTGACAAGAGGGCTAATGTGAATTGGTAAACCCTGATCAATGACTGTTTTGCAAAGCATCCGTGACCCCGTAGTCCGGATTGCCATTTCTAGAAACAACACGTGTGTATTTCGCTCTTTTGGACATAAGGTTCTCTGCTTCACCGAAACACTTTTAGATTTAAGGTTCTGATGTGACTCGCTGTACATTTTCAAAACTTGACTCACTGAACACGTTGGAGAAATCATTATAAACTAAATAATCATGTCAAAAATGCCCTCAAACAGATGTTTGTTTTGTTTGTTGTTGTTGTTTTGTAGTAAAACATATCTTTGCTCAAACCAGACTGTAGCTGTTGGCCACACATAAACATCAAATCTCGCAGAAAAGGAAAGCTACAATAACAGTTTGACAGCCAGGTGACATGAATGGTGTTTTCTGTTTCCGGAACCGAAATTTTCATTTTGATGTAAACATGAAAAACCATGAATAGCCGCTCTATTACCATCGGCAGGCCAGACACTGTATATAGTATTTCTCTTTCCCAAGGTTTGAAGTCCCTTATAGCTCACTACTCGCTAAAGCCTCTTCTCTCTGCAAGAAAAGTATTCCAGCTCTTGTGTGTGTGCCTTAAGCATTATGTGCTTCCTCTGCAGACACTAGAGCTAGTCTGTTTTTTAAAAGTATTGGGCCTGGCAGTCAGCTTCAGTCGACCGTGTTTCACTAGTTGTGGCTTATTGAGATTCTGTTTTAACTGTTTTAACATAAGCAAAACTTATGCACTCGCATAGCCGCACTTCAGCCTGCATTTCAGTCAAAACCAGGCACGCAAGAAACTGTTTCATCAATAGCGAGCTGCAATGTGCAAACATCGTCAAACCTAAGCGCTGTGGAAAATTTCAGTAACTGGCTGACTGTATAAAATAGGACAAGATGAATCCTCTTGTGGAGTTTCATCTTTCAGGCACCAGAAATCCCCTTGGCTTCTTGATCTCATCCCGCTGCTTTCCCCCCCTTTTCCCTGTTGCTCTTGTGCTGACTCAGCACCAGAATTAACACAAACGCACTGAAAGACAGGAGGAACCGCACATGTTCTCCATTCGCCATCGACGCTCTCAAAGGGAAGTTCAAAAAAATCCTCAAAGAAAGACGGCGATTTCTCCTCCCCGGAAAACCTCACGCGCTCGGAGGAGAGAGAAGTTCCACCTTATTAGCATTCATGACTTGAAACCCACCAGAGGACCAACTTTCTTTAGCTTGTACAAGAGATACTGGACCATTTCAATTAGTAGCACGGATAGATGAAATGCCCGCAAGTGCTTGCTTTTGTACATTGGTGGTGAATACCAAAGGAGAGGAGGCACGGTGTGACTGCTGCCCAATTCCCTCAGCAGTCTGTGTTTTTCTTTAAAAAAAAAAAGAAAATGGCCAAACATGGACATCCAGCTTACATAGCAATAATTTATTAGAATACCGAATGTGTTATGTCTAATTTCACTAATACAGTTTCTGTCCTCATTCAATCATATTCCATACATAAATTATAATCTACAATCTAAGAATGTCCAGATTAGGATTATGCTCCCAGATACCAATCTGAGTCTTTTACTACTCTTAAAGGTACAGTATGTAACTTTTTAATTTAATGATTATTAGTTGTTTATTTTTTTAACAGATTTTTTTAAAGATTTGTCCGTATGTTCTGACAGCATAATTTGAAACAGAAACAACCAATTGGAGCCATGAGGATGGTCTTGGCGCTCTCAGTCATGCCTGTATACACGTTGCTCAGACCCTTCCCCCTGCTCTCTGCTAGGCTAGTTTACCACTTCTGACATAAATGACACTTCAGCCACCGATGACGGCGGATAAATAGTTTTTCTGTAAAGTTAAGTTGTTTCCTTGCCTTTAGCATATTGAGGAGCGCATACACAAGCACGATTGACAGATCTTCCTCCTGGTTATGATTGGTGAAGGAGAAAAAATAGCTTCTTTTGGTCTTTATTCCAGGTCATATGGCTCATTTTATACTGTCCTGCCATGGTGACAGTTTTTCTTAGTGAAAATGTCACGATCAGACAGCGGGGAAATAGGGGAGTTGTCCCGTTAGACCATCAGTTCCCGAAACCACACACACAAAAAAAATAATTAAAAGCGCACACAAGGTCAGATTAAAAAATACAAATGATCCCAAAAGAGTGTTGAGCTAAAATAATTTTGTTCAGTCTATCGTAATTCACATGCTACAAAATAAAAACGGAGGTTCAAACCAGCAACCCATGAGTTACAGGACAAACTCCTACCTCAAGAGCCATCATCACCCCTACTTAACTTGCATAACGTTATGCAAAATTTAATATAAGACTGATTATATTTTCTTCTAGGGATGAAAAATATACCATAACATTTAATGTCCAAGCCAATTTCCTCTGAAGTCCAAAAACTTTTCTCCAAAAGTTAAGCTAGATTGTTGTTAAAGAAATCTGAGCGAAACACAAAAACAGAGCTTGATCCAACTAATAGGGACCGGACAAAACAACAAGCAACATTTGCGTACCACCATCTTTACTAAGGTGGCTGGTGATGAAACGAACGCAGCTCTGGAAATTAGACTTTCGAAAGCAAAGAGGCAAACATAAAGAGGCAGCCCTGCAAAAGAGCGCAGCAGGCGCTTCTCGCAGAAACCAAAACTTAAAAAAACAAATCAACACAACCAAATTAAACAAAGACTGATGCATGAAAACATCCCAGTGAAAGACAAAAAATAAAAAACACATGACTCATAAAGACACAGGGCCTTCACACCTTGAGAAAAAAAAAAGAAGGCAAAAGAAATGTCGTTTTGGCCTTTTCAAAGTGAACAACAGCCAGCATGTCAATGATGCAACAGCAGGAAACAAGAGGGTCACTGCATGATTTGACGTGTTTTTACCTGCCAAAGAGCAGAGCAGGCCCTCCGCTGCTCCACACCAACCCTTCATGTCACCTTAAGGTGTTTTTTAGACCACTAAAAAAACCAAAAAACAAACGAGGACAGAGGTTTGAAATGGTAGAGAAGAGAAACACCTGAGACAATGGTGGAAACTGCACCACAAAGCATGTTCCAGTTCAACTTATGACTTTGCCACAGGTAGGAAAGCAAGATTCATGTGCTAAGCACAGAAATTATTTATTTGGGGTTGATTACAGCCATTAATAAAGTAAGGGAGGGGAGAATAAGACGGGGCGAAAGATGAATGAGCATCATTTTCTTTCCACATTAATCAGCAACATGCCTGTGATCTCGGGGCTCTGCGAGGCTTCGAAAGATGAAATGCTGGAAATGCTGATAAGACATGTAGTTTCTGTTATATGGTCTGTATATCCACACGTCTTAAGCAACTAACACTCAAACAGCTATGGAGATATTCAAAATATTACAATACAATTTAGAAAGGCTCACTTGTAGAACAAAATTCCCTCGTTTTTATTAATTTTAGCTGTTCAGATGAAGAGCCACTTCAAATGTTCCTCTATGTAAACATTACGGCAATATTTCTGTTCAGAGTTACTCATACATTTCCCTACATGAATAAAACAATCTTTTTGTTTTGACTGTTTTCTCGTCAGTGAAGGTTTTGACATCGCAGCAACGATGTTGATCAATACAGCTTGTAGTGATTTCTGTTATTTGTCCTGATCAATGGGTGATTGGGTTTTGGTTTAATTTTGTGTTCATTCTGTTATTATTATCTACTGCAGTTCATTTCTCCGTGTTCTTTGATGTGGTTCAGTCATATTTTACTTCATCTCTTACTTATTCTTGGGTTTTGTGCGTTTTCACAACAAACACAACCACACCACCACCTCGTGGTGCTTATTTGCTTGGTCATGCACTGATGTGGGACGGCATCCTGCACTTCAATCGTAGCCAGTGTGCATGCATTAATCACTCTGGCATGAGCAGCACACCCAAGACGAGCTTCGTCTTTCTTTTAATGAATATTAAAAAAGGGATCATATTAATATTGCATTGGTAAACTATACAAAACCCAAAAAGCCTTTTTATGGACAAAAATGCTCAGAGGTTAAAGATGGAGAGTAATAAATAAGAAAAAGGTTTGTACAAAATCAGAGCTGCTTCATCTTTCCCATTTGAAAAAAAAAAAAATTATATTTTCCAACCTCAGGCTTTTTGGTCTGCACAGTTTTCAGATTCATTTTTTTTTCCTAGCACAGATGTCTGCTTCAGCAGAAGGCACGAATGTTTCTGACACTCAATCATTACTGCCAACGTATTCCAGCGCTTTCGCAGCCCACTGCAAACTGTCAGCCCTGGTTGTGTTTAAAACTCACCACATGGTTTGAGGCGAGCTTGGACCTTCTGCATTTTTATGTAAAATCCACACAGTTTTAAATGTTTCTAGGTTTGCAGGGAAAAATGGTGAACTGTTGTTCTGACCTTGGGGGATATTATTTAGTCATGTTGGAGAGTGTATTATTCAGGACTTCAGACGGAGCAGAAAAGAAAAAAAATATTATTTAATATTACTGTCTCCTTCACAAAAAATAACTTTTCTCTGTTTGTGTCGTTGCTTAGAATGATTTAATTGGACGATCAATTGCAAGTCAGCTAACAGGACGGCTGGGATCGTTCCTTTATTCCTGTGCTGAAACAAATACAGGAGCATCTCAATAAGTTTGAACATAACCTAAAAAAAAAACAATGTTGGTAACTCGAGTCCAAAAGTAAAACCCAATAAGACAGAGGTGTATTTCAATCATTTATACTGTTGCACCATGAAGGGGGGAGTTTTATTTACAAATGTCAGACCGTTGAACAGTACCAACTGTACAGTATGCGCTCAGTACTTTGTCAAGTTCCTTCTTTCCTTAATTGTGGTAATTACAAACCGCAATTTGGCAGTGTGAGTCGGGTTTATTTGTGTAGCAGATTCCAGCGAGAAAGCAGTTCAAAGTGCTTTACACCATGAAAACATCGTACGGTCATCAATTATGAAACCAGCAGTAAACATTACATTTTGTCAAATGCCACCATCAAAGTCATCAAGCAAACACACATCAAATGTGCCGATCAATGTTCCACTGACTGCTAATCAGGGGCAACTCTAAGCAGGTGGGTTTTAAGGCTTGATGTTTCAGCAGTTTTGCAGTTTTCTGGAAGTTTGTTCCAGAATTGTGGCGCATAGAAGCTGAATGCTGCCTAGGAAGTGCCAACTTCCAGAGGAAAATGGTGTTACCGTCTTGAAGGTTATCAGCATGAAAGCTCTAAAATATCATCCCAGATGGCTCTTCCGACTTTAAATTTGATCGAACGCAGGTGACAAACCTTCACTAATCCTCCTCGCATATTGGATTCTGTAGCTTCATACTTCCAAATGAAATGGTACATTTGTTTTCATCTGACTTTAACTGTGGTTTAGTTCAGTACTCTGACTTAAGTCCACACATTGAGGATTTTTCTTAAACTCTTCTCTCTGACTTGCTTGGCCTACTCATGGCTGCTGTTGTCCTTGTTGTCTCTGCAACTTTTTCTGCAATCGTTTTCCTTCCACTTAATTTTCCACCAATATCCTTCGGAACAACATCGTGTGGACATCCATCTTGTTTTGTTGCTCACCCTCAACAGTGCGACCATCAACTGGACATTTTTGATTTTGATGGAAAACAAATTCTTGAAGCACATTAATGTTTTCAGACGTCTGGAAAAAAAAAAAAAAAACTCCAATAATGTACTAATTTGAAAATCCAGGTGTGGTTTTAGTGATGCATAAATTAAAAATGTTTACATTTTCAAGCATTTTTCCTTTCTGAGAAGTTTTTTTCTCTCCTTCTAAGTAATAATCAATATAATGATTCATTACACAGCTGGACAACTTGGTGCATTTCAAGCTTATGATTTCATTAAATCCACAAGTGCAAAATTATCCCCATTTAAATCTGTCACCAAGCAACATTTTATGATGCAGTCTGTTGGTAAATGTATAAAAATTAACAAGCCTAACAAAAATGGTTTATAGCTATATCTCTATGGCAACAGTATGTCTGCAAATGTAGCTTGGTTGATCTTATGAGTAACAATTCGTCTGTTGCGGTTTTATTCCTAATTTCCTTTTAAAAATATGTTTTCTGACAAAACACGCTCTAATACACTTAATATCATGCAGCTGCAGACCATGGAAAATGACCACCCGACAGTATCCCTTTTAATAAAGTAACGCCATAAACTGTAACAGAGACACTTTTTTGTAAATATTGAAACAGAGCCACGCAGTCTGAAGTAGCAACAGAAGCTTCCTGAAGTGTTTTCTGCTGCTTATTAAATATTCCATTGAGGATTATCAGTCTGTGAACATCTTTAAACAGAGGAAGGACATTTAACAAAGAGATCGGGATTATCTCTGTGGTATTACATGTGACAAACACATAAGTGTTTACTTAATTACTAAGCGGTTTTACCAACAACAGACCATGACCCAACATTACCACGACGCAACCTGACAGCAAACAGACAACATGTTTTGTGGATTCAGGCTGATTTTATTCATTTCCAACAGATCACTGGTGGAGAATGAATGGAGTCGTCTGATCTGCACATGTGAACAAGTGGTGAAAACATCATTTATATATTCATGAGTGTACGAGTAACTTCCGGATGTCTATGTAAACTTATTTGTCGTCGTAAAGTTTTAAAGCTGGAAGACGAGTTTTATCTTTGTTGCTTGGATGAGCCAGAATAAAACCACTTTGTGTTTCTGTGGGTCTCAGACAGCAAAACGACAACAGGCTGAAATCGGCTGAAATTATGATCACCGCTAACTACGACCGTTATGTACATCATTTGTTCCTCTGGAGAGAGGGGAGTGGGGGGCTTGCATTGATGCGAATTTACAATTACACCGAGCGTAATAGAGAAATAAATGAAATCTGACTTTGCAAGTTCTCACTACGCGCACTATAATCAGAAAACAATTTTAGCTGACATTCAACTGTTCAGCTGCTATAGCGATGCCATGTTAGTGGTTAGTGAGGACGAATGGAAGCTAAATTCAATTAAAGCAGTATTTAATTAAACGTATCCTCGAGTTGAAGCCTTGCAGCAACCGTAAGCGTTTTAAGAGCAGCAGAAGATGGATTTTGACTTTACAGTGCCAGTCAGAAGTTTGCATACTGTGAGCTAATCAGCGGGGTGAATGTCGTACACATTTTGGGATTTTGAATACAAAACCATTTGAATGACGTTTTAAAACAAGAATTGGTTATCGTGGTTTTTCTGTAATCCAAGCAGAGGCTTCTGTGTATAAGTTTGCATATTGGCATCTAAATTGCCTTTAGGAGTAATGTTTGTTTGTGTCATGGTTGTTTCTCTGTCTTGTGCTTGACCGGGAGCCGTGGTGTGAAGCTTCCCTCTCTCCAAACGACTGAACACGGGCAACAATCTGCCTGTAAGAATATAGAAAATCGATGGATGTCAGTGTCAGATTTATACTTTTATTTATGCTGCACATTTAAGAACAGCAAAAGTTGGCCAAAGAATATAAAAGCCAGGAAAAGTGAAAACTCTAAGAACAATTGAGTCTATCTTGCTTAATCAAAGTTCTTGGGAACGAGTGGAGTAAATGACGTAAAACGTTGTTGCGCAACAATAGTTAGGTTTGAAAACGTACTAGTTCCATTGGCAGAGTATTTCATGAGAGGTTTTTAATATCGCTTGCTTACTTTAAGTGTGCTAAGATATTTGCTCTAGAAACTAGACAAAAAAATATATATATTTGGTAAGATTTTGTGTTCTTGCAGAGCATCAGCTTTTTTGGCTTATGCATTAAAATAACATTAGTTGAAAGGATGAGTCCGGCTTCCACGTTTTTCAAACCACGTTTTATGTTTTGAAATGACTCAAATGCACCTTTTAAGAGCCTGACCTTATTGCAACATCCAGGACTAGGATTGGCGTATGCAAACTTCTGACTACAAATTCAGGATCTGTAAATAAATGCTACTGAGCCCCTCAGGCCTTTACTTCCCTCAACTTCAGTCTGATTAGACGCTGCTGAGCTACATCAGTAACATACCTTTGAAATGACGTGTGAGATTTGACCAAGATAAAAGGCAGCATAATTGGAGTGAGACGACAAAGATAATGAAGCGACGAAGGTAAACCTGAACTCAAAAGAAGATGAAATGTCATTGGGTGATTCATTAATTTCAAATGGCATCAGGTTCATGAGTTGTAAAGGGAGAGTAAAAGGTAATATATTTTTTAAAAGGATCATTGAAGAAAGAGAATGACTAAGCAAGAAAGAGTGTGTGAACATGCTAGATGAGAAGATGGAAAGTGAGAATTTTCAAGATGAAAGTCTCTACAAAAGTCTATTTTTACAATAAATAATCAAAACAAACACACAAATGTAATACAAATGACTTTTTTTTCAAATCCTACTTTGTCCCATTATCATCAAAAGCTCAGTGTTCTTCTGTTTTCTCCGTTTTTGCTTCTTAAAAGTATCACAGAACCTCGTATGTTGCACATTACTGTTGGAGAAATTGGGGGAGAGGGGTGGAAGTAATGTTACAAAATTACCCCTCCATTTATATGGCACAGTTTTAGATAACCAGCGTCATCCAGACGCCAATTCACTGCCTCTAATCCCGGGACATCATCACCAAGGCGGGTGAAAGGGTACGGCTTCAAAACTCCCAAGTTCACTCATCATCTTTATGGTCGGCCATTCAGAAGACAAAGATGACAGGTTCTCACTCACTTTAACGAGCTGACAGCAACAGAGAGGAAGAGAGCGAACAGAGGGATGAAAGGAGGAGAGCAATAAAACTGAGATGAGAAGCCCAAGGCCAATCCATGCTCTTAGACCTTCTCTCTGGAAGATGAGCCCCCAGGAGGGAGCAGAGTAATGGCAGAGACTCTGCTGCCTCACTCATATCAGTAACATTCACGGGCGAAATTAGGACGTCAAATTATCGTCTCGGTGAACAGTTTGGTCAGCCAGAGTTAACACTTTGTACTGTTCGATGTGATGTTTCAGTTGCACTTTGAGTTTTTTTTTATCTGGACTACAATCTGTTTAGTCTTATTGAAGAAATTATAATATTTATTAGGAGTACGCTGATATTATCGGCCAACCGATATACCAGCGCTGATTTTCTGAATTTTGGGGGATCTGTGATCAGCCGATACTTAGATGTGAAGCCGATCTCTGAGCCCCTTGAGATTTCAATTGAAGATATTAAGGTATTTTTTAAGTAAAATTGATTATTATTATTGTCTTATCTACCTCAGCAAAGGTATAAAAATCAACCACCAACTGTCCTTCTGCTCTCATGTGAGAGACGTTTGACGGACACACCGGCCCACCGGGTCATGTCTGCACATTTGTAGTTATCAATAGTCACCCAATTCCTGCCAACTTTCTTGCTATACTTAGCGACATTTCAGACAACAAAATTGTTATCAGGAAAAATCGGAATCGGCTTTATAGGCTTTTTAAAGATCGATAATCAATCAGCGATCAGTGAGAAAAAACCGCAATAGCGGTACTCCTGTTACTTAATATATAATTTACTTTAGTTTAATAATGAAAGCGTGTTTATGAACTTCACACAAGATTTTTCTCAAAATGTTTTAACCTGACATTCAAACCTCATCAAAACACAAATTCAGATGTATAAATATCCACCCTTCCATCAATTGTCTATACTTGTTTGCCGTAGCAGGATCACAAGGAGACTGGCGTCAGTCTCCAGGGATCAAGAAGCGAGGTTACATGCTGGACCGGTCACATGGCAACACAGAGGCCATGCACACACTCATGCCTAGAGGCGATTTGGAGTAATGACCTGACTGGGCAGTCATGTTTTTGGATGTGGGAGGAAGCCAGAGTATCTAGAGATGCACAGGGAGAACATGCAAACTGCACACAGAAAGACTCCAGGCTGGCATTCGACTGCAGAACCTTCAGAACCAACCGCACCACCATGAAGCCCATTTAGTAAATGCGATTGTGCAAATATTTAGGATTTCATGTGCGTTTGTGAGCTCACCGAGAAATGAACATTTGAGTGACATTTAATGCCTTAGTTTCATTTGTACAAATGATTTACACTTTTCCTCTAAGACCTGAGTTTTGTGCAAGACAGATTTGTTTGTGCATAAATTTCCGTCTGCTCCTAATGAGGGTAGCGTTTGCATATTAGATTCCCTAAATCAAATGCATTTTAAACATACAGATGGGTTTCGCTTCAGAATTTACCCAACGGGGAATCCGTCTGCTGCAGAGCAGGAGCTGGTGCTCAGCGTGGCGTTCTGTGGGTGTGTTTGTGTTGAGAGGTAGAATCTGTTCATCTGTTTAGTGCAAACTTTTGTAGCAGTAAATGTGACTGGTGTTACTGCAGTAAATGTGGAGATTTTACAGAGAAATGACGAGGACCTTCAGTGAACAGGAAGTCTTAATAGGACAGCAGGAAATTGATTCATTGTTTTCCTTAAAGCTTTTAGTGGTGAGCTTCTATGGCGTCTACAGGATCTAAACAATGTTGATGCCGCTTGAAAGACTTTGACACGAGGTATGTACAATCTAGAAAACACAAAGCAGATCCTACTTTTGCCTTTGGCTCTAATTGCTAATAAATATTGTAGGTTGTGAATACAATGATAAACATTACAGTCACGTTTCCTTGATTTTGTTTTACTAAAACATCTAACACTTTCCCAGTTGCTTGGTGTAACTTTTCTACATCACTCAGGCTCACTTTGTGTAGCATTAACTCTAATCATAACCATTTTGTGATGTTTTTGTAGGATTTGCTCCAACTGCACACAGTTCATGTCAACTTGAATGAGCAACATGGAATTCCTCTTTGACAACTCCTCAAGACATGATTTTACTTGTATTGTTAAAACTTTAATCACACTTTAAATATTAGTTATATTGAAATCCTGTCTTTTTTGGGAAGGTTATGTGCAGCAATTTTAAAATTTTTGTAAGACAATGTCATGGCAAAAATAAACCTTAAAAAAAGTCAACTTTGCAACTTTTTAAAAGATGCCCAAAAAATCAGTCATTTTAAGACAATCTCAAGAAGAAAAACATTGCAACATCTATGAGGCACTGATAGACATCTGATCTCTCGTTATTTTGAAACTTAACACCTGCTTGAAAGTTTTGTAGTTGAATACTTATAAACAAGCTTGTTCTGTACAAGTGACACAACCAAAATGGCGAGTTTCAAGAAATGTATTGAAAGAGATCGTGTCAGATGGAAACAAGGCCACAATCCATTCTGTTATTAATGGAGCAGGAAAGCAGATGTGTTCCATCATATTTTTTTTAAAGCGTCATAAAGTAAAAGAGAGATGCTGATCCACTTGTCAGCTTAAGAGCAGCAACATTCAATCAGAGAGGACCTAAGTTACAGAAAATGCCACCAAAGAAGGAGCTGCTGGATGGTTCATCAAGTGATCGATGGCGCATGAAATGAGTCCTGGAGGGAGGCGTGACTCAACATTTATTGCGAACGATTTTTCAACAAGTGTGTTTTTAGTGTATTTAATGTGTATTATTGTTTGGTTTGACCATCACAGTAAGAAAACTGGTGCATTCAAGCTCTGCATTTCACAAGCAGTCATTTGTATCTGAACTGGAAAGCTATGTTTAATAAAAGTTATAAAAGTGTCAAAAATTGTTGTCGACATGCATTAATAAAAACCAAACATGGGGACACTTTGAAAAACTGCTAATTTGGCAAAAACAAATTTTACAGTTAAGTGCAGGCTGATAATCACAAGACTATTAACCATGTTTCAAAACATAAACCGTGGTTATTAAAATCATTTTAAAAAACATATTTACAATCCAGAATGTCACACACCTGCAACCATTCTTCCTAACAAAGTTACTGTAGTTGCTAACAGATCTACAGTAATCAAACTCAGCAGATAATCTGTTTCTTTTTTAATAAAGATGACGCTGGTTACATATTTACATACTGAAACGCCCTTCAACTGAGCAAATTGTTCCAGCTTTCTTTAAATTTCTAAAGCCTTCTGTGATCACTAGGGGAAACGGCGCACTCCAGTGGTGGGAAGATTTTAATTTGGCTACAATAGCTACTGTAATAGCACTCTCCATGGCTCATGAATGCACAATTTATTGTTTCACATAGGTTGTTTTTTGGACAAGATTGTGTCTTGTTTTGCACAGGATTGGTGACATAGGTTGAATTTCTTTTCTCTGCATGTTGAACTATGCCATGTCATACACCCCATACCAAACCATATGTACCATATTATATGATACCAGACTGGGATACCATTTCAGACCAAATTACACATATTTAGAAAACAATGTACAGTCTGACTAAAGAGTCGTATGAAGTGATCACTCTCTGCCTCGTTACTTCCAAGAGGAATTGTATTACGATAACCAAAATACCATTTAGGAAAAGTAAGTATTACTTTTAACTGTCAGGGTTAAGACTTGAGTCGCACCAAATCTGTGGTGTTTTGTTTTGGATGTGGCCGTGGATTAAAAATCAACATGTTAGGGCTTGTCCAAGTCTGTCTTCATAACACGAGTTCAATATTGGTCCTACGTAAAAGTCAGAAGATTTAGTGTAACGTCAGTGTTCTTCAGTAGATGCTAAACCTGACAGTGATTTGCATAAGAATAACAAAGGGTTGTTACTTGAAAATAACAAAACAGCTGCAGATGAGTGGATGAAAAGAGAAAAAGGATGGATCCTTTATGTATCCCCGTGATAGTCTAGCAGAAATTGAGTTACAATCCTTAAAATCCAAATTTTCTGTGTAATAGCTGTAACTTAAACGACTCCAGAGCTAAAACTTTGATGACCCTCCTTCTCCATCCTGATGATGACAACAATCTCACGGTTGACTCGACGGCATCTTTTGATGATTTTTTTTTTCTTTTTCAAATCTAACAGCATAAATCTAACACATACATGCTAAATTGATGTTCTTAAAGACCTGCCACAGTACTGATTGCATTCTGTTGTGTTAAACCCTAACTGGGAGCACTTACAGGATTGCCTGGTCATGGAGGATGATGTAAAGTTGGATGCAGACATTCTTTCCAGTACTTCGTTTAATTTTAGGCCGACTTTTAGTCGACCTTTTCTCGGCCAGAGGAGTCGAGGATTACGTCTTTTTTTTTTTTTTTTTTTTTTTTTTTTATGTGTTGTATGGCAACATTTTGTAAAACCTTTTAGAAAAACACCTGAGGTCAAACTCCTATGAATGACAGAGTAAATAAAAGCATCAAGATATGTCTTTTAAGGTCTGGTTGATTTCAGATCTTTGTCATAGTTTTTTCTGGTTAACCTAATGAAAAGGCTAATTGTTAGTAGTAGTAGTAACTACTAGTAGTAGTTGGCTACTAAATGTTAGTAGCTAACATTTAGCTACTCTAAATGTGTATAGCCTTGACATAAACACATGTCCCAAATCATAGAGAGAATATACATAGTAATTTAGGCAATGACCCAACGCAGCTAAGTATTAAAATTTGTCACATATTAATGTGTTTCTAAAGTCCACATTAAAAAATGTATAAGGAGACAACAGGTCACATTTCCACAACCTTACGTTTTAGTCGAAAGCTTAATGCAACATTTAGCCTATTGCCAGAATTTTACCCAGAGGAAACCTAAAAAGTGATTAAAAAGGAACAAAATAAGGTTAAGTTTCTCTCCACGGCCAAAGGACAAGACCAACCTAATTTTGGATGCGTTTCTTAGAGCAAAAACACATTAGCATTCACAGATGCAAATTTGTCTGTGCATGCATGCTAGAGCTGCACACACACATTAAGAGAGGAAGTTTTTTTACATGAACGCTGCACACTGCTTAAGCAGCTCCTCTGATTCCCCATCTACAGGAACGTGATGGGAGCGATGGGGAGAACGAGACCTGTTTGAGAAAAGCTGCCCTGCATAAAGTGTTTACTTGGCTTACCTACGCTGCTCTTCGTCGCGACCCCTCGGTCCTTTTATGGTGTCGTCTTGCGTCATATCCCTTCATTGCTGGAAGACCTAATTTAAAGCCTTGAATTAAACTCCAGGAGAGCAAACCCATATAACTTTTATTATGGCCTCAACACTTTAATGGATGCTGGTAAAACAGTTAGACTGGCACTACTTTAATGTGCTCCGTCCATTAACTCTGAATGCAAATTAAGATGATAAGAATTTATTGAATTTTTTTTTTTTGGGGGGGAGGGGGATTTGTCACTTATTTATTTTTTAGAAATATACAAAACAGACATTGTTCTTCTGGCAAGTTTTTACTACATTTTGATATTTATTTTATTTTCCTCTTTTTTTTTATTTATAAAAAATGAAGTGAAAAAATTCCTTGCAAACATAGTGAATATCATTGAGGAGTCATCTGTTGACACCACTAGTAAAGATATGCTAATGGGCATTAAAGAGCAGTTTCTTACTTCGTACCATGTTAGCATAATCTGAAGCTGGGAAATCGTGCCGTCGTTGGACAAACGATGCCTCAAAGCCTCATGGATTCCACACCATGGCTCAAAGTGGGCATGAAATGCATTTCCACAGATTTATTGGCTCAAGAATGATGAAAAAAATTTTACAGGCACTAATACTGAGGAGGTAAATCAGCAGCTTTTCCAGAGTTTTGTCATTGTTTCTCTGTTGGCATGTTTATGAAATTGCAAACTAAGTAATTTCTGTTTGCGCAGCACATTCCAGCAACATGACAGTTCAAAGTTCTTTACATGATGGAAACATAAAACAAGCAAAACATTGCATTGCAGTGGCACAATAAAGAAAAGCAATGACAAGTTCAGGCACATGATAATGTTCTAATTCGTCTTGTTCAAAGGAAACTCTAAACATATGGGCCAGTGGAAGGACTTCAGAACTGAGGTGATGTGCTCTAGGCTGCGAGCTTTAGTAGAAATGTGAGCAGCAGCTTTCTGGATCAGCTTTAACTGTCTTTTTCTTTTTTTAAAAGCAGATCTATGAATATATTGTTGTAGCAATCAGGGCGACTAAAGATTAACGCATGGATGAGTTCTTCTAGATCTCTCTGCAACATTAGTTCTTTAATCCTGGAAATGTTCTTCAGGTGATAGAAGACCAACTTTTTAACTTCCTTTATGCGTCTCTGAATGTTCAGGTCTGAGTGGATCACTTTGCCTGGATTTTGGACGTGATCAGTCATTTCTAGCCGTAATAACTGCAGCCGTGTGTTGACGCTCCTCCTTTGGTCCAAAAACAGTTACTTGTATTTTGTTTTTATCCGGATAAAGAAAGTTACGGCACATTGATGCGTTTATTTGTTATATGCATTCTCTGAGAGGGTTCGTGAAAAAGACTGATGGGGGATATTTGTCAAACCTGACGGTCACAAAGTATCCCATGAATCAGATCAGTGTACAATACGCTATGAATGGATTTTTCATAATATCCAAAAGCAGGTTTAATATCTGCATGTTAAGGCAGCACAAAAAGCATGTGCTTTTGTATAGAAGTAACATAATATGTAGATAACATTCAGATATATCTGTGTTATACCTGCATCTTGTATTGAGCTGTTGCCTCTCTCTCATGCTCTCTACTGAACTGTTTTCTTGTTTCACCCTCTGCACTTCGTCCCATCAGCGAGGTACTCTGAAAGCATTTATTATTGCTGCAGGGTCCTGCTGAGGACGGCACTTGTAACTAAAGAGGAAATCCTGTCAGGAAGTGATTAAATCAGTAAATTTAAATGAGCGCATTAATTATTAAGGGTACCTAACAAGAACTCCTGCTGTTTTTGGTGGTCACAAAATTACTTTGGTCTGATCAGGAAGAGAGACGTTTGCAGAAGTCAATTAGTTGCCCCCCCCAAAAAAACCCAGCTCAATTACACAGAATTAACATTTGCCACCCACAGGTCAGCGAGGAAAAGGAAACGGAAAACGGTGGCATGGCCATTAGGTTTTCTGTCATTTGATGTGTTTTGCTGAGTGAAACCTGATGTTGTTTTAACC